GCCACCGAGTAACTGAAAAGGCTTATGCCAGACTGTTTTGTGTGATCTTAAGGGGACACTGGTCACGGTAGCCTGGCACTGTACGTTGAAGTGATGCGACGCAAGGCGGCGGCGGCGGCGCTGGTGAAGATGGCGGGGGCGAGGAAGCGGGTGAAGTTGGGCGAGTTGCGCGCCGTTGAAGAGGAGCGCGTCGAACAGGTATTGTGTCTTGGGCGTGTCCCTCTGTGTATGTGTGTGTGTATGTGTGTGTGTGTGTATGTGTATGTGTGTGTATGTGTGTGTATGTATGGCGTCACACTTTGTCATCACTTGTTTGTGTAACAGTGATTTTCGTTGTTAATCGTCGTGAGCTACGGATGATCGAACCCAAGATCGGATCAACTGACCAGAAGAAGCGGAGATTTTGACCAGTGGATGTGCACCGAGGCAGCTGCCCAGCAGGCAACACAGGCTGCCGCCACACTGACCAGCACCTCCGAGAGCTTCCTCTAGAGCTAACTGACGACGATTCAGAAGTAGTCATCCAATAAGGCATCCATGAGAGCAAAATTATGGGATTACTAAAACTCGGCCGATTGGGCAGATTGGGGGAAGGGGAGGGGGGTGGGTTCCGATAACTGGGAAGATGGTGGGGCAAAAGGGGGAGGAGGAAGTTGAGACCTCTCGTGGAGATAGGAATTAAGGAGAGCATTACGGAATTGAGCGCTATATAGATTTGTGGTGTTAAGCAAGAAAGTAGATGCTGAGAGAAAGCTAGTAAGCTTGCACTTCAAAACATCATTGAATAAAAATTACTGATACTTGTGTGTGAGTGTGTGTGTGGGTGGGTGTGTGTGTGTGTGCGGTCAAACAGGTTTTAGTAACAGCCGAAGAAATAATCAATTGGCTTGTCTACCCGAAGAATTAGAAGAATAGAAGGATTTGAAGCCGGTCAGTCGGCCTTTAGAAGCAAGGCGATGGACAGTCGATCTGCAAAGGCAAAACTGCAGCGATATCCTAGGAATTTCCACTGTGCTGGGAAAGGAAGGTTCTCTTTGCACTGTGTTAATCGAGAAAGTGAGTTGCGCAACAGATCTGCTCATTGTGGCGGCCGGCAAGAATTTGGACATTCAAATGACCATTAGACCAGCATGCTTGAAAACAACAGATCCAGTAGCAGTGCTAATTTCAAAAAGAATATAAAAGTAGAGACAGTGATCTCTTTTCCCCTCTTCACAGTGTTAGAGAAGCATCCATGTTTCCAGTTCAGATGGCGATTTCCTGGTTCCTCGAGCTCCTTCTTCAGCAGGGCGTGCACTGCGGACTTGTTTGCCTCCTGTTCCACGTGCTTCTGTGAGAGTCAATCTGAAGTGCGTTTTTATGGAGAGCATAAAGCAAACTGTTGCTGGTTTAGGGCGTCATATGCGATAACGGTCAGCTATCACTGATTTGGCCAGCAAAAACATCCAAAAAAAAAGAATTCAGCCGGTGCTTGGCTTAGCGATTACCCTTATCCGTAATTCCAACATCATCGTATAGCTCCACCGACGACCTGCGAACTGACAGTGTACTGAAATAAAAGAGATTGAATAGTAATTCCATGGGCGCACACTAAAATCGTCTCAGTTCAGGCAGAGAAAGCGG